CTGCGGAGCAGTGTGAAGAATTGCAACACAACAATCGAATGAATTGAAGTATCGGCAATCAATCAATAGAATAACTGTGTGTAAGCAGCCGAAAAACAAAAGCAAGTAAAAACTGTTGTTGTAGGTGGCGGTGGCGCTGCTTCACATCAAAGGTAGCCACCAAATTGGAACTTCTTACAACACTAATTGCTGTTTGCTGCGCTTTTGAAGGTTACTGCCAGTTCTTAGCCGCATTTATTGAGCGACTAATAATTTTTATCGGTCTTTTAATTGTTTACTCTTAATAAACATTTCAATGCCAATGGAAATTTGTTGCGCTTCATAAAACTGTTGCAACAAATTTTGAGTTATTTACAAGTTAAGTAGCGTAGGTTACTCAATTTGATTTTTTTTTTTGTTGTTATGATAAAGTTATGCTTTTGTTGGAAATTATTTTGGTTTTTTTTCGAATTTTATTATAAATATTGTTTTAGAAATCGAACGAAAAGTATGCATTACTCTCACAGGACGAAAGTTCGTTTCTTAAGTCTTTTATACGCCTAGTAATATAATATAATATTTTATATCATGTCCTACTAACAACAAATTCTTTTTTATGCTTTTACATTTTATATTCATTAATAAATTACGTTTTTGTTAAAAAATAATAATAGAGTTGCCATTTTGTATTTTAGGCAGCTTTCGCGATTTTAATATTTTCAAAGTTTTATATATTTTTTAGCTAAAAGAAAAGAATATTAGAATAGAATACAATAGATATGAATAGAGGCATGCACGAATATTAGTGTGTTTTTAATGTATTGTAGTATATCTAAAAATAGATCTCAAATAGTTAATTAAATTTTTCATAATACCAGAAATCACATTAAAAATAATATATAGAAATATTTAATTCCATTTTGGCAGAATTTTTATTATTGTAATAAACAACATTTTTTATGTGCCAGAGTTGCCATATCTACAACGATATATATGTATCTATGAACTATTTTACAATAGAAGAAATTTTTTAGATATAGAAACATTACGTTTCATTTGTATAAAGGTTTATTAGCAAACGATAGTTTTTATATGCTAGAGTTGCCATATCTGCTGTAATCTATGCATTCAAATTTTTTAATGCATATTTTTTAGATATAGAACTATTTAGTCTCATTTGCAAACGATATTTTTTAACGAACGAAATTTTGTATGTGCTAGAGTTGCCATATCGGCTGTGATATATGCTTAAACTTTTTTAGGTTGAAATAATTGCAAATTTACTAGCACAAGATAAAAATATCTTATACCTTACAAAGTTAAATATCAGAATCCCTGAAGAATTTTAGGATTGCCGCCCATCTTGTAACATGCCCAAAAAATTTAAATTTTTTAATTTAATACTCCAATAAATGTATTTGTATATTTTTCAGAATATTAGCGCATATGTACATTTGCAACAACATTTAATTTTTGACATGGTTGCCACATATCTATCTACATATTTATTTTTGCTTTTAAACATTTAAAACTAGCTAGCTTGGCAGAAAAGCCAATATAGGTAAAATGCAACTAAATAAAAAAATTTCACTTTTTCTGTACTTAAAGCAGAATTATCATAATTTATGAAGAGCTAACTTTCACTGCAATAATTTAAATTTTTTTTAAACAGTATATCTATAAATACTACAACGGAAACCTACAAGCAGTTACAAACCAAGAATTCCAACCGTAGACTATTTTTAAAGCAAATAAAAGCGAAATCGCCTTAAGACAAAAAAAAACTTAAAATTAATAACAACAAATAAATGAAACCCAAATAAATCAACATTTCCTGTGCTTAATTTCATTATAATAATTCTACAGCTAACTCAAAAGCATTTGTAGATAAAAGGCACTCATGCAAATCAAATGCCGTAATTGCGCATGCGGGGCCTACAAACATTATACATATGTATGTGTATGGGAATGTATGCTGGTATGAGTGCGACGAATTTGCGATTGCGCTTAATAACGCCTAATTGGGATCTTATTGTGTTTGTAGGTTAAATAGCAGCTGAAATCGAAATTTCTTACGCCAATTATAAAGCGTGGCTTAGAAACTTAGAAGCTTGAAAAGGTTACAACAGCACGCCGCTATGCGTGTAAAAGAAATGTTTTACTCGGTTTGTACTAGTGTGCAGCTAATGAAAGTTCAACGCTTCAAATTTGATAATTTTTTTTGACTGGAAAAAAAATGTTTAAGGCGGTAGAAAAACTTATTTAATTTTTATGGATAAGTTTTTACTTGACAAGATATCTTAATGAAATTTATGAAAGGTTATTGTCCAAGGCAATTGTAAAATCTGCGAACAAATTGTTCAGATCGCATCACTGTAGCGTATAGCTGTCATACAAACCAAACGATCAAAATCAAGTTCTGGTATGAACACTTTTATTATTTGGCAAGATATCTTCTCTATTATTAGTATAGATTATTTTCTAAGGCAGCGCTATATTCTCGAAACAACTTGTTCAGATTGCACTACTATAGCATATGACTGCCATATAAACTGAACGTTCGTGTATGAAAAAATTTTTTATTTGTGCTACGGTGCAACCGTAGTTAACTTTTTTTCTTATTATCTATTTTCAAAATTTAATATGCTACTAGGAAGTGCTTAAGAACTAGCTAATAATTAAAGTAATAAGCAGGAAAGCGTCAAGTGTCTGACTACTTTCATTAATATTTTTTGTCATTTCACAATCAATTTGATTTGCTTACGCACTTCTTTCCCCATTATTAGCATATTTTAATATACAAAATATATTAATATACACAATATCACCATTACAATAACAAAAACATATGTTTCTATTTTGATACTCCAAACGCTTGTGCAACAGCAAGTGGAGCATGAATAGGAAATATATTCAATAAACTGCCAAGCTCAGCACTTTTACTTTACATTTATGCTTAAAACAGCTAGATATAACTCTACATACATTTGTAGACATATTTACATATATATGTACTAATATGCATATTTGCGTACGAGCGAAGTGGTACGTGAATGATACAACTTGTGAGTATATTTCTCGCCTGCAGTTTCTGTTGATTCGATTTTTTATTTGAATTTCTTGACTTATTTAATATTTTATTGAAGTGTAACTGACTCCATATATACATATATGTACATACACATTTAATAATATGACAACCGAAGAGACACGTACACGTCATTATCTGCATACTTACATACTAACGCGTACATAACTGATGCATGTTTGCACTGCATGGCATCAACTATTGTGCGTCTGTACAGTTGTGACAGTTTGACGCTTGCCACAGTTGCTTAACATACACAATAATCAATTGTATGTTATGCGATTGAATATCTTTGTTGGCACTCATACATCATAAATTGCATAACAGCCGCATGATTATATACATAACTGTGTTTAAAATATAAATGCTATAATATTAGATATGTACGTACAAGTATATATAAATGTATGTATATCAAAAAAAATCCGTAAACTTCAGCGCAGCATATCAATTACCAAATCCAGTCGATACTTGCATATTTGAAGCACTGCAATTGCATATTTGTGGTAAATTTTGCATAAGCATATTGCATATGGCGATAATTGCTATCAATGCATAGGAAATGTATACTTGAATGCTATGCAAACTTGTTATTGCTGTGGTTTTATAAATACCTTGTTTGTATTCCAACATAAGTTATTGTTACACGAATTGTTATGTTCAATTTTATAGCTTAACAAAACTAGTTAGCAAGTTTTTTTGTTTGTATGAAAATGAGTTGGCAACCCTAAACATTAAAATTTTGAAGTTTTACTCTTAACACTCAAACATTGTATTAAATCTTGTCATGCATATTGTAGAAAAAGTTTTAGTTAAAAAATAAAAGTTGGCAGCACTACTATTTTAATTTTAATGTAGCATATAGAACATTATTAAAATATACATAACATATGTGTTTTATTACAATCTATAATTTGAAAAAAAAATGTAACAGAGTTGCCAACTTTTTTTTTTTAATATTAAAGTTTATATTATACACATTTTAGAAAGGTTTTATATTTAGCTGAAGGTGAAATAAATGTAATGAAAATCCTTCAAAACAAATCCTGATACGAGATATAAAAATATGTATTAAAATGTAATTTTAAATAATAATAATAATATTACGCCAAATTTAATTTTTCTTTTAATATTTTTGGAATTGTAATTGAGTTTTTAATTACTTTTTATTTTCATCTATGAAAATACAAATATTTGGCAATCCTGCTGCATAAATGTTTGTTCAAATTTGGCACAACTTTATTATTATTATGAAAAACTATGCAGGCAGCACTTCGCTTAAAATATAAAAGGGGTGGCAACTCTATTTTCCAAACTGTTGCATCAAAAAATTTTATAAACATGAATTTCATTTAAACATTAAAATTACTGCACAATTTTTACAAAACAAAAATTATGTGCATATGTATATAGCAACTCTTTTTAAAAATATACCCTTAAATTATTTTGAAATAAATTAAAAAATTTGCAAAAATATTGCATCAAAATATTTTATGAAAATTTTGTATTTAGTTTAAAGTTAAAATAAAACTTCATTAATTTTTTAAAAGTCATATATGGCAACTCTATTTAAAGATATACCCCAAATTATTTTGAAATAAATCAAAAAATTTTCAAAGTATCAATAAAACTTAATTAATGTTGTAAAAAACATACATGGCAACCTTATTAAAATATATACACTCGAATTGTCTTGAAATAAAAAAGTTTCAAAAATACGTTTTATGAAAATTAAGAATTTAATTTTGAAGTTAATTGAATTATTTTTCTTAAAAAACACATATGGCAATCCTATTTAAAAATATACACCCCAATTATCTTAAAATAATTATCTTAAAATAACATTCATTTTTTGACATAATAAAAATTATGTGGCAACTCTAATACGTACATTTTACTAATCACATATCATTTCATTATTTTTATTTTACAGGCATTCTAACAACATTAAGTAGTATCTCTCAACATGTAAGCAATATTCCTAATCTTCACCAAATTTCACTCGGTCACATATAAAACACTATATTAACTGCTGAAACATAGAGAGAAAACAAAAAAAAAAACGGTTGAACACATTAAAAACTTCGCTCTCGACACAGAACACGCTCACTTGTGCGCCCAACTGCGGCCATCGGCATGTTCGGCCTATTAGGCTCCTCACAAATCTATGGATTACAGCAAGTGCATGAGTACGGCAACAACAGCGACAACAACATAAGCAGTAGAACACACATAAGCAACAACAACGATCACAAGCAACGTCGTTCCACATCGAGTCACACGGAGAGCGGCAGCAAATTTTTCGCCTCACTCAGTTCCATGCAACAGGGCATTAAATCACCAACGAATTTCATTGAAAAATTCATTAAAAACGAACTACTCAGCGGCTACGATAGCATAAAGAATTATAAAAATTTTCAAAATTCCACAAGCGGCTCGAACAGCACCTTCTTCACCAGTCACAGCGGCACAGCAGCGACACACACACGCGCCGCAACACCTGGTTGCATTGGTAGTGGCGGTGAGGGTGGCGACATTCTGAGCGCCGAGAGTCTGCTGACCACTTTCAATTGCCTGCAGGGCAGCTATCGCAGCAACTGTGATGGTGAGTTCTACGAGCCGGTAAATGTGACCGCACAGCGCAAGCAAGCAGCGAACAGCTCAGTAGCAACAACAACAGCAACGCCGGAAGCGGATATGACGATTAAATACTCGAAGAACTTGCTCGCGAACACGCCAGCCGAACAGTCGCCCGCCACGCTGCAGAACTATCAAAAGCTGTCGGAATGCGAGCAAGACTTGCTGTTGACGCCGTCGAGTGGCGCGAGTTCGGGCGAATTTAACAGCGATGCGAACGGCAGCGGTCAAGCGACAACGCCGGTTAATAGTTTGTACAAGCGCTTGTCATTCGGCGGACGGGCGAGCAAGAATGCGACGGATAATGCGACGACGGGGATGACGACAGCGGCAACAAATGAAAATGTAAGTGAATATGACTATTATATAATTAATAAAAAAAAATTTTACAATTTTTATCTTGAAATCAAATGAAAAGTCAACTCTAAAACTTTAAAAGTTGCACCGAAGCTGTGACACCCTTCACAAATAAAAAAAGTTTCCGTATAAGATCGTTATGGCAGTTATATGCTATAGTAATCCGATCTGAACAATTTGTTCGAAGATCCTACCGTCGTTTTGTATAGTGATGAATGCCAAATTTCGTGAAGATATGATGACAAATAAAAAAAGACCACACCAAATTTCTTGGAGATACATATATCGTCAAATGAAAGAGCTTTTTATACAAGCACAGTTTGTATGGCAGCTATATGGTAGGCTAGAGTGGTTCGAGCTAGGCCGGTCCGACAAATGAGCAGCTTCTTGGTAAGATAGGGCAAATTTTCAAATCGATATCTCAAAAACTGACGGACTAACTCTCGCATATATATAAACAGACGGACTTGGCTAAACCGGCCGGCCCTGAAAATTTACATATATACTTTATAGGGTCTCTGACGTTTCCTTTTGGGCGCTACAAACATTGTGACAAACTTAATATACCCTGTTCAGCGTATGAAATTCTTTCTTTCTATAAGTAACAATAAAATTTGAAAAAATAAAAATTTTGATAAAGGAAAAGTTTAAAAAAATTATAAAATAATAATTTTAAAATTTTTGTTTTTAATATTAAAAAATAATTATTTCAAACAAATATTGACAAAAAATAAAATAAGAAACAGTATGATTAACAAATGAGATTTGAAAAATATTTTTAATATTTTTTCATTTTTTTCCACTTTTATTAAGTTTAATAGCTTTTTTATGAAATTGAAAACTAAAAAATAACTACTTTGCGTAATTGTTATATAAACGTCTTCCTAATTTACTTAAAATCCCTTTTAGTTGTTAAAAAAAATTTAATTGATAAAAATATTTATTTGGAAACTAAAATGTAAAAAATTAAAATTAAAAAAATTGAATAACCACTTAAATTTTTTTTTTTAATTTTTAATAACTTTTTTTTTAAATTAACAACAAAAATTAATAAAATAAAAATTAATGAAATAAAAATTTTTATGAAATTTTTTTTTAGAAAACCAATATATAAGTAATTTTTTTTATTTAAAAAATCTAATAATTTCGAGTAAATATTGACAAAAAAAAAAGTAACAAATAAATGCTTAATTTTTAAATTTTTTCATTTGGCAATTACTATTTAATAAGTTAGTTTTCGTAAGTAATTTTTGTAATTGTAATATAAATTCATTTTTTTTTTTTGTAAAATAATTTTTTGAACATATTTTAAATCTTTTTTAATAAATCACAGCAATAATTAATATGTTTCATTATCACTAATTGCATTTCAACAAAAAATTCCACGCTAAAAAATTTTTACTTGCACTTTTTGTGCATATGGCTATTTCACGCAAATTCGGTAGCCCAAAAACACTTTCAAATCGAAAATATTTACAAATTTTTCACATTCAAGCGATAATGGCTCTATTAGCGCAGCGATAACACCAAAATTATACAAATTGCACGCGGATAATGCCAAAAGTATACAAACATCATAAATAACAAATTGTCACACATAAATATTTGCCCAAAATATATAAGCATACAAACGTACATGTGTATGTGTGTGTAAATTTTGACACCTTCGCACAGTAGTGGCTCCTGCAACGCTTTTATGGCGTTATAACTTATGCCAGCTCATTGATTTGAATTTATTAATTATTTGCACTTGGCTTCCACGCTGTCACTACACGCGCTGACTGAGACGTCACGGTTAACTTTGCTTGACCGTTATTCAAATTTGAATTTATTTATTTTATAAAAAAACTTTGGCTACTGCTATACAATTAGTGACGTCAGTGAAAAGTTATAAAGCTTGACGAAACAAGACAAAATATATAACAACAAGAACAAAAGCAAACAACTTTCGCAACGTCCTTTAGTCGTGCCCTATAGCTTGGTTGCTTATCAAAGGCGCTTATCAGCTGTCAGCGAATATTGATAATGACTTAGTTTCAAAGCGAACGCACACATACACATGCAATGAAGTGCATACACAGTGTGTTGTGTTTGTGTACGTTATCAGTTTTTGTCGCAGCGTTAGCTGCCTGCTGGCGCTGCATTCCCAGATCACCGGCACTGATATTGCTTTGAAGGTTTCATTCGCTTTCAGTGTTTCGCTCACCGTCAGCGCTGGTTGTTTACACATACAACATTTATTTATCGGCGCATGAGTTGCTGTTATTATGACGTTTTGTAATTCTGTTAATCATCAATTGTTTAATAAAATTAACAGACATTAAAACAAACATGAAGCTACATTGGCTGCCGCATGTGAGTAAATTTGACTAAAGTGACAAGTGCCTGCTATTTTTCTACCAAAGTCCAAAGCTTTTTCAGAGACATAGTGTTGATATAGTATATATATAGTATTGCATAAATAATTAATTTCAGACTCTTGTTTGCTAAGTGTTTTAAATTGTAGAAAGTGTTGAAAATCGCACGAAATTATTTGTGTTGATAACGCAAGTCTAATTGCATAGAAAAGTGCGGAAGCGTGTCAACGTGAAGAAATAAATTCGCAATGGGCATTTGAATACCAAGGGAAGCAGCAACGGCAAGCTGACTTAGTGACAATGAATTTTAAAAGAAATTAAACTGAATTATGATTTGCTTGTGTTTGTTTGAAGTTTTTAATCTCGTTCGTGTATAAGAACAGTCAGCGCTACTTTAGCGGTTCGTCTACTTTCTTGCTCTATTTTCGGATTGCAAAAAAAAAAACGATACATGAAATGCACAACATTTTTTTTTAATTTCATTTATTTTTTCTGAAACTTGTATATAAAAAATTAATAATTTTTTTCAAAACTCTGTCTCTTTTTATTGCTAGACACAAGCTGTTTTGAATATTTAAAAATCTAACAAAATGACAGCCTTTTAAAAAAGTGCATTTTTTGGGCCTGTTTTTCAAGCTAAAAAGACTGTAAAAATCAAAAAAACAATTCCAAAAAAAGCTCATTTCTAAGCACACGGAAAAGTTTTTTGAATCAGTAACAATGCAAAGATTTCGAATATCTTTTATAGTTTTGCCAGGAGCAACATCAATAGTGAGCGCAGGGCGGAGATGTCTCGTAAACCAACATGCTTTCAATCAAATCCTTCATAGGACATATTTCTAGTTATGTCTACATTATTTATACATATATATATGTATAAATATACTATTGTAATTATACGTGAGTAACTCCCTACGAATTATGTATGTATGGAACTCTTGAATAGAGCCAAAGATTTCTCAACGAAAAAAATATTCATCATATGAAATTAAATATAGATCGCGAAAGAGAAAGAATCAACTTCAGTGCCATAATATTCATATCTGGGAACGCACAACAGTATTTCTCTCATTGAACAACCAAATAACAGTCAATGCAGTAAAGAGTTGTACGCAGAGTTAATTCTTTTAATAGACAACCCGTGAAACTCTTTTTCTTATATCTATACCCATACCTTACTGGGGATGTTTCTACCAAAGGACAGATTTTAGTAGAGTTGTGGCTTTTTCCACAATAATAAAATGGTTAAGTTTCTGGCTATTTCCACATATAGGTATGTATGTGATATTATAATAACCATAAGATATATATGATAATCAAATTCTGTGGATAGCAGCTCCAACTTATTCTGTTACTACTTACTGATGATGCATGAAAAAGTTTTTACTACTTAATAGTAGTCAGGTTTCGGCAAGTATTTGCAAACCCCCAATATGCTTTTCAATTCGAAAAAAGTTTTACGGGAAAATCATCAGTCGTTCTGTGACATCTCAAAATCTTTAAGTTCACAAATATCATAAATCAGTTAAAATCAAATATCATCAAATGCATTATATGTATTTATAGATACTTCAGTGGTTAATTCCCCTTGAGTAAATTAACAACTTTCATGTTTACAAACACTTTTTGTTGTAACTTCGGAGAATTATAAAAGAAGCATTTACATTCTCTGCGATAAGATTAGAATGAAATATTGCAGTTTTTAAAATGGATTTGTGATAATAAACACAATTAATTTGAAAGATACTTTAGAGGTTATAAAGGAAAGTGTGTAACAAATAAATAATAAGTTTTAATGAACTGCATGACAGTTATGCCCAGTAGCTACGCATGCTCAACCACGATATTTTGAACGCTCCAAAAAAGCTTAGTCACAGTTGCTGTTTTATACTTTGTCTTCAGCATTGCGACTCACTGTGTACTCAGCCTAATGCACATCACCTCTAATCTACCACACCAACCAGTTAACGCAAATGTTAACAGTAATTTTCAACAGGTTGAAGATAATGTTTCCAAGCAAACCTATATTTTATATTCAAAACTGCTTGGGGAAGTTTAGATTCCAGAAAATTCCAAATACAAAAGTTTGTATTGAGTCTTTTTAAGTTTATTTTGGGTCTGAGCACTTTAGTTTTTACAAAAATATGTAGAATTCTAAGGCGATTTTAAAATGTTTCTATTATTCAAGTGTATGTTCTGACATTTTTCTGTAATTTCATTATCATCACCACATTACTTAGAATCGAAAGGGTATAATAAAAGCCACAATGAGCTAAGGGTTATTAAACCTCATGAGAATTAGAAGTACGTTCCCCAGTACCTTATTCATAGTTTCACAAAGAGAAAAAGAGTACGCTTGGGATTGAGTTCATTACTGAAAAAGTTGACAGAAAAATATCAAAATACCTGAGAGTCTAAATCTTTGTCAATGTACACAACAACAAGTATTAAAATATTCTCAGTTCGGTAAGATTTCACATGTTCTAAACGTGTGACAGAACTAATAATATAAATGACAACATATGTCTGCAATAAGATATAATTTATTAAGAACATATTTCCAGTAATACATACATATGTACATATATAATTATTTAGAGCGGTATTGATACTCGGAACAAGCACTCAACCATTAACGAGTAACAGCAAATATTTAATACTTAAATGCGCCACAAATAAATCACTTACACCTCCGATGCGAATTAATCAGATTTACCCGATAAAAAGCAGCGTGGGCGCAGAAAAACAATTTGGTACTCTATTGCCTGCCTACCACTACCGTTGATAAGAGGTGTCATGCCATATGTTAAAATTCACGCTATTTGCTGTGGGCAATACCGAGGAGATGTGAAAGGATTACAGAGCAAAGCATAGTTCGAACGATAGACAGGTTTATTGGCGGCTTATGGCTTCAATCATTTTTAATAATATTGAATTGAGCAATAAATGTGTTGATTTACTGTCGAACTTATGTTGAAATGTGAAAAAGGCCAAGCAAGCAGTTATTATTTCCTAGATATAATAATATAAAGTTTTCACTTATGACCTTAACTCAAGTAACTCACAACTCCTCTCTCTCTCTTGTTTCACGCAGGTTTCCGACTACTCCTCGTCGAACAACTCATCCGCCTCATCGACACTCTCTTCGAAGACCACTTCAGTGTCCCTGAAATCCATCGACCTGCAACGCACATCATCCGCCTCATCGTCCGGCGATTGCGCACAGTTGTGCGAACGTCGGAAATCGTCGCCAACCGCAAATATGGCGGAATTAAGTACAGCCACACTTACGGATGGCACCAGCACACTTCAATTAACGCCAGAGCGCGCGCAACGACGCAAGCTCATCGCAATGATCTCACATTATGAACAGCAAACGAAGCTGTTGCAACGCGAACTGGCCAAGGAGAAGCGACGTCGGGGCGAGGAGCTCGCCTGTGTGGCGAAATCGTTACTGTGTTTCGAGTCGAAGCTGAAAAAGGATATGAAAGCCGTCAATCAGCGGCTCTTCGAGAAAGATGTGGAAATCTGTCGTTTGGTGCAACAGAATCGTGCATTGCGTAAGCGACTAACGAAATACACCGAAGCAGAGGGTGAGAATGCACGGGACGAAGGTGTGGTTGAGGATGGCGAACCAGAGACAGAAGGTGAGGTGGAGGAAGAGCGCAGCGGTAAAACGAAGGAAGCTGTGCTGGAGCGTCGAACTGCGTCGCCTGCGGCGTACAGCGACCAACAATTGCTGGAAGACTGTTTGGTACTCGAAGCTTTGCAATGCATTAATTGCAAGAAGCAATTCTATGACATTGATCTAAATGAGGGCTGGACACAGAATATGTCAAAAGATGGTACAAGAAAAAGTGGTGAGTATGTTCAAGGATTTGTTAGTTTTGCTGATATGCTATATTTTGGTTTCTATTTTGCTAGTTGACCACACCACTGAACACGGCTCATCGAGTGATGATACAGTCTCATCGTCGTTTTACGGAGCCCGGCGCAGTGTACGCTATACCAGCAAACGCACCTCCGGCACTTTCCGCGATTATATGCGCTCGCGTGCGATGAATATCGACGATCCGACGTTGGACAATAATTCTGAGGAGAACACGAGCACAATCAGTCGCGATGACTCGCAAACCAGCTATGAAAAACTCAATATATATTCGCGCACTATCGAACGTATGCATGGCGTAAAGGGCGAAAGTGAGCGCGAGTCGGAGCAGAGCGGTATGGAGAGTACTGTACGACCCGCTTCACGGCTAAGCTGCAAGAGTAGTGTTAGCAGTAAGAGCAGCAACAGCAGTTGCAGCAAGCATAGCGCCAAAGCACCGACACCGCAGATTGAAGAAGACGACGGCATATTTTCACCCACACAAGATGATGATTTCGAAGAACCAGAAGAGGTCGGTGGACGCAGTATTAAGATTGTGATGCGTCGCTCCACCGAATTTTCTGAGGCTTCGCCGAAACAAGTCTATGAGACCTCCACTGACGATTGGTATGCCAGTGCCTCCGATCAGGAGGAAATCACAACATCTACGGTCGTCGCCAAATCATATGCCAATGGTGCGGTCAACCCGGTGCTCGAATGCGTTAATCAGATACTATTGCAACAGTCCATGGAAGAGCCGGTAGCCGAACGGAATAATCAAACGACCGCCCAAAACCTTCAGGTCAACTACAGCAATGCCACCTCCACCGCCAGTTTGCCACGTCGCAGCTCCCTGAGTGGACGACATAGTTCACGTAGCAATAGCCGTTCTAGTGATGGGCAGCCGTCTCGTAGTGGTACTTTGACACGGAAGCGTGTACATTTCTCAACCAAGAATAGCATGGTGCATGTGCCACGCAACGATGAGCATGACGAGGAGGACGAAGATGCCAATGACGATGACACCACACAGGACACACAAGATACAAACGAAGCAATGATCTCAAGCCTAGCGCAATATCATCCAATGAGTTACTATCCGCAAGCTGCACAGCAAGCTGCATCTGCTAAAGCAGCCGCCGCCGCTGCTGGCACAATTGCTCGCGGCGGCATGCTTGCCGAAGTGAGCGAACACGAACGTCTCGAAACGCTAAACTACGAGAGTATTTATAGCAACGAATACGAACCGATTGGTTCCGAGCATAACTCCTCAAATCTTTATGTGGACATGGAGTCAGCAACCAAATCGGCCACGAATAATGCTCCAAGCACTACAGTTGCCGTAGATACAAAAGTACCAAAAACACCGCCAGCTTTGCCACCCAAACCAGCAAATCTATTGAAGTTTAAAAAATCACTACAACAACTAGATGAATTGCCCGACGAGCATCTACACCAGGATGGGCACGCCGTAGTTGAGCCGGACTATTGTTCCATTTCGGAGGTGAATATGGGCATAACGAGTGTGCAAATAGTTGCCGATATACACAAAGCACCTGAATCGGAAGCTGATTTAGAGTCGAACTCCGCGCTTGAAGCGCCCATCTCCGAACTCGACGTCGAAGTATCGACAGTCGCTTCAGATGAGACATTCGCTGTCTCACAAAAGACTGATGAAATCGACGAGATTTTCGCCGATGTACCAAAGCTACCAAATGTGGCGGCCATTATAGCGCCAAAACAGGCGAAAATTCCACAACAACAGCCGACACAAAAGCACAACTTGCCCTCAGTAGATTACCTGGTGATGTCTCCCAAAGTAGAGACGCCTAATATGAAGTTGCAAAATGCGCGTAATGCGACCATATTAAATACAGCCTCAGCAGCAAAACAACAGATCACCTCTAACAATTTGGAGGGCACACCTAAGGCAATTGTAAAATCCACAGTGAACACACCCATAAAATCTCCTAATCGTCCAGATACTAGCGCGCTTAAACTGCATTTACACACACCCAGTCCGCTGCAATACAAACGTAAACATATGCCGAACATTCTCGCCGAAATCAATAAGCGCATGAGCTTACCAAGTTCACCGACAACACCTACTGCACGACTGACCTTCGCCACTCCTACAAAGTCGGTCGCCGCAAACAAATCGCCGCTGCAGCTTGGCGTCAGCACTCCGCCGAATATGCCAATTCAAGCAGAGTTCGATTGGTACAATTTGGATGCCGAGTATGGCAAGACCGCCTTACAACAGCCCGAATTACACAAGGTGAGCGACTCGCTTACTAACGGCACAATGCTCGCCGGCATACACGAAGATGGTGAAAGTTTGGTCACAGCAGCCGACGAATACAACTTGGATGAGGAGTTCTCGCTCGCAAGCGATAAACCGGACGAACTGATGGCCGACAACAGTGAGCAGGATAATGAGAGTGCCGAGGAGAAAAGTGAAATAAGTGTCGTGGATATGACGAAACCACTGCCGACAAATATTAAACTCTCAACACAACATGCTGAGAATAAAAAACTTGATAATGTCGCCGCCTTAAATGCTGCCATTTGTGAGGCTGTGAACTTTCCCATGTTCGGTGAAAGTTCACCGCTAGTTGCGCTCTCACCAGCGATTGCTCACCACCATGCCAAGGCAAAGAAAATTAAGAAGAATTTAGCCAACTTTGAGAAATTCATCGAAGGTTCGGGTTTGAGCACTAAACCGCTACCGAGCAAGCGAAAAATCTACTTTGCCGGACCATTTGTGTGAAATGTGGGAGAAATCAATCTGGCGAGAAGTCAGAATATCTAAAAAACAAGGAAAAGAGTGCATAGCGCAACCAATAAACTACGAAGTGCGCGCAAACTCATAGGAGAAGAGAGAGCGAGTTTGGACTAACTTAGAGCTGAATATAAAAATAGCGCGCTGAAGTGATCTACAAACATCCATATAAAATATAACATAGTAGGATGTGTTAAAATATTTTCTTAGAATGATTAAGTTGATTTTTGTTTGTGTTATTTTTCGTAGCTTGACGTAACGGTAAACTTTCTTAGGATTTTAACTCAAAAATTGTATACGATTTTTGTTAATTTTCGAGTACATTTCCCAATCGTTCATTTCCATGTTTTGTGTAATTTTTTAAGTATTTTTTATGATATTTAGTTAAGCGTTTACTATTTTTTTAGTAAAAATCGTGGATTCTGTTAAGTATAAGATAATTTTCTGTGTGTTTCCTGTTCACTAAATATAATTTTATAATTACATACAGTTAAATTATTTCTGAAATATAGTTCGCATATGTATCTATGTATATGTTTGTATGTTTTTGATAATTAGTTTTAATTAGAATTTTTTAATTATATACATAAATAATTTTCAGCTTTCCGTAGCGAAGAAATGAAATGAAAATTTCATTTACAAACGAATCTAGCGTTTAATGTGACGAATTGTATTAGAACCTGTAATAATGTTTGTTTGAAGAAATAAATAAAAGAAATTTGAAATCACCCTGTATATTCAAAGGTTCGACAATTTGTGAAAACGGTGAAAAAATTGTTATAAGTTAAGAAAGGTTGGAGGGTACTGTTTAGTAAATTTCTTTTTCATAATGCAACTCGTGGTCTGATAACTCACCGGAACTCAATCCCAGAAGAGAATCATCCTTGGAATATATGTACAAAAGGAATTTCTGGCTATTAGTGTTGTATTAGGTTGAATAACAGTAGTTTTAGTGAGTCTCTCAATGATGGTGCTGGTGTTTAATTATGTTTCAAGCAAGATCTTCAAAAGTTATTTCTATGAAAGCAAATTATTCGTTGGGTAAGACAACTTTAGATGACAGAAAGGGAAGTACTGCAGGCGACCACATTATGGAAGCCTGATAGATTCGAAACTTCTTCGTCTGGATCCTATTCCAAATCACAGCCATATACGGGATATAAGCGTTAAACTGCTGTGAGTAAATACGAGTATTAGAGTAGAGACTAGTTCGCGAATATATAGACAGACATCAACTCAGCTGCTGATCATTTATGTATATATTTTTATAGGGTCTCTGACGTTTCCTTGTGGGTGTTCAAACTTCGTGGCTAATTTGAAATACCCTGTTCATGGTATAAAAATATGCACAATCAAAACCGTTATTCCAAACCATTTTTAAGTCTTGAGAAGTAGCGAAGTAAACACATTCACAATGGCTGGTTGGTGAATTTTAAATGGAGTTCTGTGGTGAATTTGAGGTGATTGGCCGTATTATTTTTTCAATTTACCTATTGGAATGTCACCAATACATATATGTAAAATTAGTATCTAGCGATAAAAGTCTAGCAATTTTTTTTTTATTTTACTATTTAAATATTATCACTACCCCATGCTACTGTCAATGAAATTCACCATTATAATAAGTCATACGAAAGTGTGAGTTTTGCATAATGCTGACTATAAACGCATCGATTACTCGTTCGATTTAATTTTGTACTATTCTTATTCATATTATAAAAATTCAAAATCTAATTAATATATGTAGTTTAAGTGGCGTAGTATTTCGTAACCGAATCCGAAGAATTTAACGAACGCTAGTAGCCAGCATTTCTTATACGAGTTTGTTTCAACTTATATCTTCTTTTGTTAGGCTGGGTGCCTACCTTAACATTTTTGCTGTGTTGAGTTGGGGTGAAAAAATGTCAAAATTTCACTTCAGTCTGTCAGAAATTTAATTTTTCTATTGTGTTGATGCGAAAGTTGTATTCCGGTAAACATTAAAAAAAATAAACATAATAAACTTTCTGGCGCTTTAATAATAATGTCTAAGAAGCATATTACGAAGACGTGCACAAATGAAGCGACAAACAAAGAATGGCAGCGCTGGTGCCGTCTTTGCGCCAAATATGATGGCCACTATTTTGATATTTTCATTGAGGAACTACGACCAATGTCTTCTCAGCAGCACCTTACTGCTGCCATTAACAAATTCTTTAAGATACAAGTAAGGATATTTGATTTAAGATAAAGTATTACTTGATCTAGTATATTACTTGCACAGATAAAACCAAGTGACGAACTTCCGGTATTATTGTGTGCAGAATGCTACACTTTCATTAACTACATGAAAAATTATGCGGAGCATGTTTCTAAGGTGCAAGCAATGTACCATGATTTGCTGAGCTCAGCCAACACCACCCTTACTGATATAAAAGACATTTATGAGAAATATGGCATATTCAAATTGGAACCATATGTGCAGCATACTTTGCCTGAATCTTATAATTCTATAGCGCCAACTGCAATCGAGCAAATATTCGTAACGGATGTGCCAGTATTAAGAATTAAAGATGAAGAAGTGGAAGAGACGCAGACAATAGTAAAAAATCTCGAAGCTGAAATCAAAGTAGAATTTGAAGATCCCTTTGCGCGAAATGCCTCACGAAGTGTAGAAGCGCATGAGACTAGTGAAGATAGTGATAGCAGCGTTGGTAACAGCCACACATTTTCTTCTGACACTGAATATCGTGTAGAGGAAAAGAAAACGGTACATATACAAAGCACATATGCTAAAGTGAGTTCCAATAGAATTTCTGCCAGCGATAATGAGAAAAACGAGGGCGGTTACGTCTGTGATATCTGCAACCAGAGCTTTGTACAAAACAGAAATTATGTATGGCATATGAAGAATAAACACGGCACAGAAACACCACATCAATGCCCGAGCTGTTCAGGTTTCTTCAAATACAAAAAGGAACTGCAACGGCACATTAGGAAAATGCACGCGCCAAAGATTTATCCCTGTCCACATTGTGAGCGGAAATTTAAGAGAGCCAAAGATGCCGAAAATCACATCAAAGCAGAGCATGAAGGTGAAGGTTCATTTATTTGTGAAGAGTGCGGCGAAAGTGTGCGTACGAAAGAGAAGCTGCTGGAACATATGGCCATACACACAGGCCGTGGCGCATTCGAGTGTAAAGAATGCGGCAAATGCTTTGCGCGTAAATTCTATTTAAAGGTACTAAAATATTTCATTTTGCTTTGTAGATTTTACTAGTTTATATACACAGAGACACGCGGAAATTCATGGTGACAAACATGTTTGTGGTGAATGTGGCTTGGAGGTGACAACATCCAAAGCACTCAAATTGCACAGTAAAGTGCATTCGGATGAAATGCCGTATAAATGTGATTATTGTGGACGCAGATTTAAACGTTCAAAAAATTTGAAAGGCCACTTGATAACTCACACTGGTCTCAAGCCTTTCTCTTGTGATTTCTGCGATAAAACATTTTCGACCGGTTCAAGCTGTCGTTATCACAAAAAGCATTTGCATCCAAAAGAGCTAGCCGAATTAGAGGCAGCTGGTGTGAAGGCATATACCAAAAATATACCTAAAATAGAAGTATTGAAGGCGATGTAAGTAAAAACACCGAATTCAGTAAAAGAGTGTGAAAGCTAATAATTCTTTGTTTACAGCACGCAAGCGACTGGAAAAGTGAAGGAGGCAGGTGATATTAGTATAAATGATAAGCGCATAAAACTTCCGAAATTGGACGCTGAGTTAATTGATACGTAAAATTTAGCACATAATTGAAAATAAAGTTCAAATTTTATGTCAAACTGAGCCTGAAAACAAAACAAATATTTGTTGTGGCGATGAATTTGAATCAGTTTAGTTTCGTTGATCCTAAAAACCTTCAGTTTTAATGAGATTAGACTACAGAAAAGGTGAAATGTGATGTGATCTTGCTACCACTGATAATTCGACTAAAATTATCAAATCCTTCGTTCTGTAAGTAAAATGGATCGTGAAGAGCATATGTATGTATATGACCCAGTGACATCTCACCTTTAAACAAACTAGTTTCCGAACGAAGAAAAATACACAACTTTAAAACACTTTTGTGATTGTTTTATTCATGTTTTGTACATCTTAAGTCACCAATTCATATTTTATTTTGTAAATGTGCGTAGAAATATAAATTTTTTAAATAATAAATACTGGCAAAAAGCAATTTTCAACAAATTTTCCTTAGTGCAGTGCATTTTTATGAAATATTCGACTATTACAAAAGCTTACATTTAAACACAGCGTTTCACAAACATTTTTAAAACATTGTAAACGAAAATTTCGGCATTTTAGTGCTTAATTGAACATTAACTTCAGCTACTGCGCGATTTCGTATGCCAGTAATGGGTATTTTTATTTTATTTATTTTATGTTTTTGGCGGAGAGCACTCTTTACTCATAAAGAAAGATTTAAATTAAATGCAGCGTCGTTGAACAATTATTTTTCAGTACCCCTTAAGTAAATGCAGTTGAACAAAAGTTTTGTTAAAACCTTTAAGACACTGAATCGCGCTTAAAAATATCGTATACACAGTTTGAACTCTAAATTAAATTAAATTACACAAAACTTCTCAATCATCCGCAATATGCAGAAATTCATATATTTAAATAGAGAAATAAAGTATTTTAACAAAACAATAAGAAAAAAAAGCACTTGTTAACAGTTTTGTATACACATGAAGTGCAGCAGAGCTATTTATAAGTTATTATTATTATTATATTTGTGTAAGTATGAACGTATCTTCTATATAGATGAACACAACACAAATGATGAAATATTTAATATTTAAAGCAAGTAAATAAAAAATAAAATAAGAAAAAAATTATAAACCCTTCCGCCAAGTCATTATGACCATTATAATCCACACACAGCACAACTTGGTGTCACGCTACAACCACAAACATACAACTAATATAGACTTGTCTTTTTCATGATGCGTAGAAATTCATCCTGATTCACTACACCGTCATGGTCCAAATCAGCTTCATCAATCATTTCACGCAACTCCTCATCGGTCAGCGTTTCGCCCAGCTCGCGTGCAACACGTTTCAGATTTTTGAAAGAAATCGAGCCAGTATCGTCGTCATCGAACAGGCGGAACGCTTTTAATATTTCCTCTTTAGTGTCCTTCTCAGCCATTTTCATTGTCATCAGTTGTAGGAAGTCATTGAATGATATGCGGCCAGTGCCATCTTTATCGATTTCGGCAATCATTCGTTTGATTTCTTCTTTTTTCGGCTCAAAACCAAGCGCACGAATTGCAACCTTCAACTCCTTGACCTCTATAAAACCGGTGCACTCCGTATCGAATAGATCGAAAGCCTCCTTAATGTCGGCTTTTTGCGCTTCAGAGAGCTCAAATTTGGGGCCGGATTTTTTACGCTGCATTGTAGATGGATGCTGGCGCTTACCCGGCAAAGTAGCGTTTGACGGACTGTGATCCATTTTCAATTATTTTATTTCTTCTTTCAACTGGATTTAAAATGAAATAGCAGCTAAGTAAATATTATTTCGTTAATAAATTTATTATTAATAGTTTCAACACTTTTCTTGAAAGGTTTGAGTCTACAATTGAATACTCACACACTGTTGTTGGCTATTTGGTGGTAATTGATTTGTTGGAAAATTATAAACAACGACGCGTTGCTGTGACCACAACAGTGCCGTGACCGTGGTCACCAACGCCCTTAGTGTAGGCTTCGGTTCACCCAGGGACGTGCGCACGTTCTGGATATTTCGCTATCGAATTTTTTCTTTTGAAAAATCGAAGTAAGCGCAGTGCGTTCTACGTATTTCACAAAATAAAATTCACAAGGTAGTAAAAGGGAGTAAAACAGGTGGGTAATTCGTTGTTCTTGTATACACAATTTCTAATTTTAGTAGGATTCATTCAACCACTCCTTCCTTATGTGTGTTCAATATCCTTTTAATTGCCTTTTAGCAAAGGTGGTGTTTTATTTATTTTTATTGATATTTCACGGTCAAACAGCTGGCCGTTCGCGGGTAAAACCAACATTGCCATATTATGCTACAGATATGTTTATCTGTTTTGTGGTTAATAATTTTACAAAGATTTATTCATGCTAATTATATGCGTCCTAAATGATTTGCGTTACTTCATATTTTAGTTTTTTTTAGATTTCTGATAAGTTTTATATATACGACTCTTTTAACATAAACATCTGTACAATATATCGAAGAGACGTTCATACATCGTGACTTTTGATGTGTTAGTCGCCTAACGAAATTTTATTTTAATATACAAAAGACTTGTGTAGCAAAGTAAATATTGTAAAACTATTAAATTAGCCACTTTTAAACCAATTCAAGACCGCAATGTTGGGCTTTGATCAAATAAAATAAAATGCAAAAGGTTAGCGAACGAATAATTTGCCATCACTTGCAAAATGAGGAAGAAAAAATAAATAAATCAGCTAAGCTAGTTTACATATTTACGAATTTTAGAAATAACGACAAATGCAAGATATCAACAATTTCATTTTTGATACAATTTTTTGTATTGTAACAAATCATTTGCTACTTTATAATAACGTCTCGAGAATAATGTCCCACTCGAATTTTGTTACCTTCATTCAGAAAGCGCCTATCTTCTCAGCAGTATTCGGACACTGTAATTTTAAACTTTTTTTACGTATTGTATAACTGCCGTCCCTAAATAAAAGCGGCAGCGGCAAATTACTGTTAAAATTCCTAATGCTCGTATGTATATTTTGTATGGCGCATACCTAAATAAACGCGGCGGCAACGCTGAGCGGTTGAAAAACTCGATTTGACAGCGCGTTCAGAAGTGAAGTTGGCTGCCGAAAATAAAGTAATTCTAAATTTTCTGAAAAATTTGCGACCGTTGTATGTTTGTGCAAATGGTGGTAAGTATTATTAATACATTAATACGTTTTATATTACATTTATTTTTGCACTAATTTTAGAATTGTGAGAAAATAATAGAAATGGTACATATCAACCCTTGTCTCTATGATAAAAGAGACAAAAAATACAAAGACGTTAAGCATAAAGAGCGGGTTTGGCAAGAAATCGCCGAGCAAGTAAATCTTTCGGGTAAGTTAATCAAAAATATAATATTATATATGTACTGAGAAGTAACTAATAACATATTTCTTATAGCAAAAGAGTGTAAAGTAAAGTGGAAGAGTCTGCGTGACAAATTTAGGAAGATGAAAAATTCCGAGGAACTTCCGTCCGGATCCGGACAAAAACTGGGACCGCCTTGGAAGTATATGGCGAGTCTAGAGTTTTTGACGGAAACAATGGAGCCTACGAGGTATGAAGAAGTGCCGTTTATATACATATGTGAAAAATTAATGAAAAATGCAAACTTTTAATTTTCAGTACAACCAGTAACGGTGAAATGGACGCATGTGAACTGTCAGTCGATAGTCAGTTGTTCCACACCACTACAAAACGTAAACGTTACAGCGATGGTCTCTTCAATGATATTCTAATAGCAATGAAGAGGAAATATGAAGAACCACAACCCACAAACAAGGACAAATACGAGCATTTCTTCGGTATGCTTAGAAACAAATTGGATAAACTAACAGAAAGTGAAGCTGATGATGTGGAAATTGAAATCTTAAATTTGGTTAATAAAAAAATTGTTACATCCAAAAATACCTCGAAAGGTATTTTCCAATGTAGTAATTTTTCTATTAATACAATTTAATATGTGTACATGGAAATGTAGTTTTCGATGTAATAATTTTACTATTAATTCAGTTTAATATTTCAACTTCATTTTCTAATATTTTCTCCAATTTGTTCCTAAGCATGTTTTTGAGGATTGTGGTTCTTTATATTACCTCTTCGTTGCCATAAGAACACCTTTGAAAAACAATGATATATTAAATTTAATTAATAGAAAGATTATTATATTGAAATACTTTCGGATGTAATAATTTGTCTATTTTCTGTTAGTTTATCCAATTTGTTCCTACTACATAAAAGCTAGGTTATTGAAACATTATATTTACATTTATATAAATTTAAGTATTTTTAAAACAATAAAAATATTTTACAAAATATTAACTTAAAAATAAATCGTTTTCTTATTTATAATATTGACAAAGTTCATTTTAATTAATTTAAGAAATGAACTTTGTCAATATTTATTGTCAGTAATCCTGCACACACCGCCTTTGACTGTCATGTGCGCCAACGTCCACAAAAGTAAAAATATAATTGGAAGCTGCAAATCTGTGTGTGCAAAAATGTTTACCATTAATTTCCCCTAAACAATGTGGGAACTTGGTTACATTCCAAAAATCCTCCTCTCTAAATAATAAATCTTTCTGTCTCCATGGCCATGGCTCAACCATATTCAACAAAAATTTCATAAATAGTTCTGCATTATTTTTGATCAATTTATTAACTCCGCTTGAGTAAAATCCATGCGTTTTACAAGTTTTGAAAATCACCTTGGCTTCCACTGCGTTGTCTGCTTGCAATCACCTTCATAATTAGTAAGCTCTCCAAAACGTCAATCTCATATATAATTTATAAACGTTTGTTCACATGTAATATTTTTCACCGCACAATGAATTTCAAAATCACAATTCAAATTAACAGTTTTGACATTTGACGGGAACTTGTCGCTTTTATTTAGGGATATCACGTCGTCGTTAACGCTGTGCGGTGAAAAACGCTCCACTCAACGCTTCTCTTTACGGGCGGTAGAAAAACGCAAGGAGTTTTGGAGGCAGCAAGAAAAAGTCGTAAAGTTGTTTCTGCGCCTGAATACTTCGTTCGGAAGTCAAATCCATTGTATGTGCAATATGGTAGAAGTACAAAATGTGAGTAAGAGCACCGAAACAGTGGAAGTGTTTTTGCATTAAAATATTTTTCTGTTTACAGAACACATAACGGAAAATGTCAAAGAGGATGATATTAATACGAATAACAAGCTTTGAGAAGCAAATCATTTCAAATTGATCACTTAAAAGTATTTACTGCATCGTAATATTTAATTGGAAATAAAAAGAATATTTTTTATTCAAACCAGACAGGCGAGATTTATTAATTTAGAAATATATGTGTGTACATATATTCGCATATTCAAGTTGCCCATAACTTGGATGGACATTAAGTTTCATGATATCTTAGCAAGCTATCGCTACATAAATAATTCCATATTACTACACAAAGTATCATAAATCTCGCTACAACAACAACAGTACTATAAATAATGTTTTTTCCTCTTTGCTGGAGGCTCAGTGCGTATTCAAGAAATATTAGGATGCTATTTATTTCTAAAATCAAATAACATCAACAATGATATACGTATATAGATATATATTTTATATTTTTGATAAGAAATGGGTCAATCCGAATGGTAAGGAAAATTATAGTAAAGGTCATTGCACTTCGGGTGTTAATGACCAATTATTTATATACGTATGTACGTTTATGTGGGTAATCAATCTCTATTGGTTATATAGCGTGCAGCGTAAACACGACAGTTTGTGACAAACACGACAACAACACAAACAAGAATTCGCAAACACAATAAAGTACACGATCAGCGTAATCGGCTTAATGTAATTGAATAACATTTTTCATGCAGATCTGTGACTTGTGTGCGAGAAGAATTTCTAAGAAACCTGTTATCAACAAGAAAGTAAGAAAGTATTTAGTAAATATATGAAACAAGTATTGGTTTGTATAGCTTTTGTGACAATGAATTTAAAAAGAATGTAAGCCTTTTAAGAAAAGTCAAAATTTAAATGAAACGCACACGCAATTAGCGAGTTTATTTTACAACTTGTTTGCAAACTTTTTTGTTTTTAGTCTTCGTTTAGTAAATCGTGACCAATTTTAATTATTATTGTTAAAGCATCGTTTAAATTAGCCAGCTTCAAAGATGCGTCAAACCATGCGTGAGCCCGACTCTATAAATTTGTAGTCAATAAATTATTTTTCTTATCGATTTGGAACAAATCTAAATATGCAAACTGAGCGGATTAACACAAAATGCGTCGATGAAAGTTAATTAGCACCAAATCACGATTTTCTACAAGTTTGGCAAGTAATCAATTATAAGGCACTTAAGCTGTTGACAGTTTTGCCGAAAACGACACGATATCACAGGCCATTTAAGAAAACAAAAGATTAAGCCACAAATAAAAAATTCAATTTTCTTTCTAGTTTGAAATGTAATTATATCTTTGGTCTACGCAAAGTCTTTACAGAAGTTTGAGAAATCTGTCATGGAAATTATCTCAATATGCGCTATCTTTAGTACTCATGACTCCATTATTAGACTCTTGACTTGTGCTTCATAGCATATTGTTTTGTTGTCAGGTATGCGTAAGCGTATTCGTTTCAAATAATATTAAGAGATTGCAGATCTTGTTTCATCATAAACGTAGCAAACTGGCAAACTTTTTTAGTAATTGTTAACAAGGACTATCGCTCCTCACGGCGTCACAAACTACTGTCAAACGAATCTAATAAAGGAACGGTTCTCAATTCTATCACTTTTGGTTTTACTCTTGGTAATCGTGGGCTTCGAATCTATAGCTTTTTTGTCGATAAACCATTTAACCTTATTTGTTACAATGGACGATGTCGAACATAACTCTTATAACATACTCACCCAACAAGTAGCGAACCTCGGAAGTTTAATACATTAAAAGAATTAGCACAGAAACTAACATATACAGAAAAACGTATGATTTAACGGATCTTTGACTTGCAGGGATGTAACAGAAACCTTAGCTGAGAAACCCAGTTTATCCTTAAGAAATGAAAAGTCATCAAGCACTTAAGCGGCACAATTTAGAAGGAGGCAATTAAGGAGAACAAACTGTAGATTTTATTCTTTTATATTTGTTGTATTATATTTATTTATTAATTAAATATAGAACGTTTTACCGCCACTAACCGCAAAACCAAGACAAAACATTTGAGAAGATAAAAAATAATTAATAAAAAAAAAAATATCAGCTATAATTATACCGTAAGCCTGAATCATCGTTGCATGCATTGAGCCTGCACTGAGTCAAAAGTGAGATAAGGTTTTATAGAGACTAACAGCGATGAAGCAAGCGAGCTTTGTAGTGGCAAGTATATTAGTGAGCGTATGATTTAAAGGGGAGAAATTCTTCCCTGATCAGTCACACAATTTTTGAGGATGCATACGTTTAACCTTTCCCACGGCAGTCTACGTAACCAAACCGGACCCATATTTTTATCCGGGCAAGGTGACAGTCCTTGACCCGAAATTACTTCAGGAATGTTTTCTGTCGCTACAACAACAACAACAACGCATTATTTTACTAACAAACACTTTACGCAAGCTGGAAAAGCTTATTAAGATATATATATGTATGTATGTAGAGCTGGTTACTAGCAACGGGGAGTAGAAGGCGAGCTCATTATTTTATGCTTGACTCAAATGTAGTCTTTTGTTCGAGAGACTAGTGGTTAATAAATTGATGACTCTCATCGCAATTCAGCAGTTTTCAAGAAATTTTCATATTTCTTATTTACTAACTTATATGCACACTCTTATCAGCAATATATTCCATTATTGGCAATTTTAATGAGTTTATAAATCTTCTCATCTCCTACATTTTTGATATACTCGTAATTGGGATTTCTTTCATCCTCAGTTTGCCGCATTTCCACCTATCAATACTATGCTCATAATATAATTGACAACACATGCAAAGTTAAGTCAACCCGTTCATCCTATTATGAAAGGCTACTGCTGTATAGTTGCCAGTCAACCAGTCATAACTAATTGATCAGTATTTTGAGTTTCGTAAGACTATTGGGAAAGTACGTTTTCTTAAGGTACTCAAAGAACAACTCGAAAAAAACAATACACAACTCGGCTTAAGCAGTTTTACTTTTACATTTTTGTATAATATATTCCAAATAGGGATATTCAGAATCCTCTCTCATTTCGACTGCATTCCTGATAACTTAGATCACTGCGTAGCGTAGCCCACTCCTGTTGTCATTTTCTCCACGCACATATCTCGGAGCGAGCCCTCAACCAGCTCTTGCTTCAGACTGCCAGAGCACTATAGTGCGTTTCAGGCAGAAGTAGCAGCCATCTTCTTTCAGGAAGGTATGCATTTACTCCGACAGCAGAATCGCTATAAAGATCGTGAGCTCGCTGACGGTGATCTCAAAGCTAAAAAAAGAGAGAGATTTACATCCAAAAATACCTCGAAAGGTATTTTCCAATGTAGTAATTTTTCTATAAATACAATTTAATATTTCGAAATGTAGTTTTCGATGTAATAATTTTTCAATTAATTCAGTTTAATATTTCAACTTCATTTTCTAATATTTTCTCCAATTTGTTCCTAAGCATATTTTTGAGGATTGTGGTTTTTCATATTACCTCTTCATTGCCATAAGAACACCTTTGAAAAACAATGATATATTAAATTTAATTAATAGAAAAATTATTATATTGAGATATTTTCGGATGTAATAATTTTTCTATTTTATTAGTATTCACTTCATATACTGTTAGTTTATCCAATTTGTTCCTACTACATAATAGCTAGGTTATTGAAACATTATATTTACATTTATATAAATTTAAGTATTTTTAAAACAATAAAAATATTTTACAAAATATTAACTTAAAAATAAATCGTTTTCTTATTTATATTTATTTCAATATACGATATAATTTTAATATTGACA